ATTGACCATTCCGATCTCCGATCAGTATATTTGAGGACTTGCAGGCGCCCGCCGAAACAAGTATCTGCAATTTTGGCTGGTACCGCTGCTGCCAATTTTGGTAACTATGGTGACTACCTGTCAGTAGTTGGTTAGCTTAACGCGGTTATCCCGCGGTCGTTGATAGACTACATGCAAATACAAGCGAACATGCTAGTTCCAGGAAGTAATTGAGAAGAAGACGACTCGATCGCTGGGCAATTCTTTTATTCGCCTGAAGTTTCGACATCCCTCGCGGTTCATCATCAGTGACATTAGCAGAAAACGGTGGCAGAAGTGGGTCTTTCGTCTCGCCGCCTCCGTGTTCTGCAACACGTTATTGTTAAGACAGCTGTGCAGAAACTGGATCTGCGGATAGGTTAAGGCCTCATGAACGATAAAAGTTTCCAATCGTCGGGCCGATCGGAGCCCATCGCGCCTAAATACATTGCCAATACAAGCAAACATGCGAGTCCCAGGAAGTAATTGGCAAGAAGACGACTCAATCGCTGGAACAATATTTTTATTCGCCACTTCTGTTACCATTTTCTGCTAATGTCTCTGATGATGAATCCGCGACGGATGTCGACACGTGAGGCGAATAAAAGTATTGTCTCAGCGATCGAGTCGTCTTCTTCTTGAGTACATGCAGTTTCCGTCTACAGCTGAAGACCCCCGAAATATGCTGATATATTTTTAGTTTTAAATAAATTTCTGGGGGGGGAATATTAAAAAGCTAAAATTTTAAAAACAATTGGCTGATCTACCAGAAAACACACAGAGGGAATGCTTGGGGAGCCACTGATGAGCCGGACCCGCGGTAGCTTTGTCAAGCAGCGGTAGAATACCAGCGAAAACCGGTAGAAGGTCTTTAATTTAGAACCTGTGTTTCCGATATGGGACATGACAGTAAACATGACATGAAACTGCTACATTGTGTTTCCTTTTATACTGTTGCGGCTGAATTCGAAACAGAAAGTAGCAGCATGTGCTTCCAGTGACGTACAAGCATTTTGGAGTACCTTGATAAGAACACCTGGCCGAAACTGTCAAAGTACGCAAGGCTTCTGGGAAAATGAATGACCTAGCAGCAGTTGGGCTTCTAGGAAGCAGGAAAAATGCGGAGCGGGTGACTGATCAACCTCGGAAGAAGCGGTTTGCTTTACAGGATGGCCCCGCATTAATTCCTTTTAACTGTTTGATTGGTTTCTTTATGTTACGGGGCGTGCGTATACAGCCAGACTAAGTGCCATCAATAATGCCAGAGTCCCTTGCTAAAAGGGATCTGGTTAGCCACCCGGGCTCTAAAATGCATACAAAGGAATTACTGAAAACGAAACAGTAGTGCGTTTTGGTTTCAAAATTAAAAGTATGGTTAGCCCTGCCTGTCCCGTATACTAATACACTGCAAATTCTCCCAAAGGTTATCCTGACAGTCCGAGACGCCGATGATTGGGTTGCCAGCTGTCGAGCTACCATTATGTCGGAGGATATGCTGCGAAAGCCCACACCTGGTCGTCGTCTCATGCACTGGTTTAACAACACCAGTAGTCTCCTGGATCTCCATGACGATATGTTTAGTTCCACCCTCAGTAAAGACTTCCTGCAGGCCTCCGACGAGGAACTCAAACAGGCCTACCTTCAGTGGAATGCAAAGGTGATTTCCAGCGTGCCGAAAGAACGCCTTCTTGTTTTCAAAGCCCAAGACGGTTGGAAACCTCTGTGTGACTTTCTGGGATTGGAAGAGCCCGTCGGTCTGGACTATCCCCACGCCAACCGGAGAATGGAAATGGCACAGGTACTCAGTGCCCAAATAAAAAGAGGACACCAGCTGAATTGTCTTATCCTCCTTCTGGCCGGTGGCATGCTCCTCCTCTCTGCCGTGGTGTTCTGCCTGAAACGTGATTGAAGCTCTCTTTTTTCCTAAAGCTTAACAATCCAACTCTAAGTGCTTTCAGAGAAAGCTTACTTTTATCCGAGCTCTCTCCCTCTTTTACACAACGCTAACGATGGTATCCGACCATTTATACCCGTGACAGATTTTTCTATATTGTACAACCCCCCAGACCATATTCTTTTCATGCCAATTACAGAGGATGCATTTCAGGGGTAACCTTCCGTTTCATATTTTACCGGTAAAAATTGGGCAGAGAACTGTCTGGGGGTCGCCGGAGGGTAAGCATGCATAATGACGGTTTACTTACAAAGTTTCAGAAGCGTGAATTTCCACCATCTTCATTTTCTCGCGCTCATGTGCCCCACCCATTCTATCCCCTATAAGCAGCACCACCTAGTACACTTGGGCACAGTGTACGCGCACTTTGGCGGCCCCACGATAGTTCTTTATCGTAGATTGCAATCTGGGTTGCGAGCTGCCATTCTTGCTCTGTAGTAAACTGTATATGCTAGTAATCTAGAGAAACAGGGGGTTATACGTGTAGGGCATGAAAGGGAGGCGCGGGGGAGGTGAAGAGAAAGGAAATAAAAAGGTAGCAAAATAAAATAAAAAAATCGTGGATAAAATTCGTATAAAAAGCTTATATATAGCAACGGTCAAACGCTCGGTGGTTTATAAAAAAACTATTTGCGACGATTTGAACTCAAATCGAACGCGAGACGACTCCGCCATTGGTCAGCTTTGTCGAACGCCGATCGGATCTGAAAATTTCAAATTTTTATTTTCAACCTGAATTTCTGAAAAAATATTTCTACAAACCATAAAAGTAAGGTAATGTCTGTGGTAAAAACCTAACCATACAATGATAGAAAATATACTTTTTGTAGCTGTCTTTCTGTCACTAAAGGTTTCCTTGGGGGACATAAAGCATTATTTGGATGAACTATGTGGTACGTAGTTGGCAATTAATACAGCTGACATCAAATTATTACTACTACGAATAAAGTAGGCCCCGTTACCCGAAAAATAAGCGAAATAATGCAGTCTCGAAAAGGCACATAGCAAACGGCTGCTGGCCAAATATACATTCGAGATTTCCCCCATAGTAGTCCAAGGAGGCCACAGTGTGCTCCACAGACTATCGGTGCAGGGACAGTGACTTACGTCTGTACGAGGTTAAAGCAATAGTGGACTTGCGTTGCATCTAACACACTCATTTTTCCCGCGCCCACCTGTCTCCGATGTTAAGACTGGGTTAAAAAGACGGGATTGGACGCAAGCTAAGCACAGTACTATAGTCTGTCATGCCCTGATTGGTGGCTAGTGTGCCATCAGCCTGCATTTACGCGTGTCTGCTATAGCCCG